GTGAGATTTGAACAGCCGAACTGCAGAACTGCAGTCAGCTGAAGTAGCCTGCAGTGCTGCATTTAACCACTGCGCCACCTCGGCTCTTGTTATGACGTTATGATTTATGACGGTTGCAGTGTCCCTGGGTGTGTGATTATTTTTTGCGACCTTCTGGCAAGCAGAAATCAATGGGGAAGCCGGGTTCCCTTAACACCAGTGCTACTAATTTCACAACTGCGGTGATTCACTTAACAAACGTAGCAAGAGAAGTCGTGAAATGGGGGGCAAAACGCACTTCACATTATTCTCACTTAGCAACATATATTCCGGCCTCGATTGCGGTTGTAAATCGAGGACTACTGCACCTATACTTAGCAAAGGCGGTTTCCATAGCATCGCTTTCCTCATTTGAATTAGATAAAAGGTACTTAATAATGTTGAGTCCCTCACAGCCAGATGCCTAAGTGGTTATTGGGAACATGTTTATACAAGCAAAAGTGAGCTGTTGCAGATCCCAACCAGGACAACAGCAGACTAAGCTGTTTATTTTTTGGGGAAAGTCAACAAGAGAGGTATGCTGTCGCTTAGGAAGTACCTCTAAGCTTGTTAAAGTACATTAAGCAACTTGTGCTTGAAAAGGGCAGCTGCTCCACTTCTTAAAACTGTTTATTTAAGGGACTGGCTTCATTGGCTAGAGTCCCAAAATAATTAATCTCGTTTAACTCTAATTAGAATTAGAACTCTTTATTGGCCAAGTGCAGGGACGTGCAGTCACTAGAGGCAAGGGAGGCGGAGCCTCACCAGTCTCCTCAGGAAAAAGAAAGAAATGTAAATATATATTTTTAAATTAAAGCCAAGATAGTTGCTACCAGGTTCCAGCCCAGCGGGGCGGTGGTGGCGGCAGCGGCAGCGGCTACTTTAAGTGCTCCCTTGTCTCACAGCCAGGGCCACTCCAGGCCGCAGGCCGCTGACACGTGCTCCTGCAGGAGCCTCTGCGCAGCGCCGGGAGGCCGCAGAGAAGCTTTGCTCCGTTTTTCACTCAGCCTTCCCCCAGAGGCGATCAGGGACTACCAGCGGTGGAGCTTGGAGAAGCAGTGGACGCAGGCCGGGACAGCGGGGGGGGCAGCGGGGCACTTTGCATCGCG